TGACATACAGTTCATCGGAGGGCACTCGAATATCATAGCCGGTGCTCTAACAATATCAAAACGCTGGTACAAAAACAAGATATTAACCTCGGAACTATAGCCAAATTGCAAGTAGACGAGGCAGACCTAAGACCTGAAAATAGAGGTTTAACTTTGTTCTCAAATCTGTAGCCATCCGTTTCTTTAGTTTATTTATTATCTACGATGTTCCAACTGGCAATAACCGTTCTTTAGTTCCAAAAGCTTGTCGACGACGAGTCTCTCATCAATTACACCAACTTTCAGGTCCTGCGATCCAAGCCACAGCAAAGCTCAGCATGGAATATTTTTCTGCCCAAAAGTTAAAGCGGATGAAAGGAAGTGGACACGAAACTGCATGCACTGTTAACGTAGCTTGGTCCAACGACACAGTCAGCCCCTTGAGAAGTTTCCGTTACCTGATAGACACTTCCAACAAGCACATTTAGATATCGTCGGTCCTATTCCACCATCGAATTCCTTCACACACATTCTTACTGCAGTAATTAGGTTTGCCGGAAGTGCGTTACCCTGCCCTATCACAGATACATCAGCAGGAACAGTTGTATTAGTATTTCTTGACCGTCAAATATTAAACCAAAGAGTCCCATCTACCACTACTACAGATCGCGGCCTCCAGTTCCAATCGGCCGTATCTCAGGAGTCTACCAGAATTTTGGGAGTGAATCACGTTGACACAACAGCCTACATCCAGCAGCAAATGGCGAGGTTGAGAGATTTCGACGCCAACTGAAAAGCACACTGACGGCACAAACTGATACATCAAAGCGGAGCGACGTTCTACCAGTTGTATTTCGCCCAAGCATCAAGGAGGATATCAGTTGCATATCAGCCGAACCAGTCGGAGTTACATCATTAATATTGCCAGGACAACTGGTCGACTTTGATGCACCAGTACCGACTGACCCAACTAGCGTTGAGAGTCATTCATTACGAACAATGCAACGAGTTAGAATAATGCCTCCACATGAGCATAGCCGTCACGTACAGCTCAACGGACACCTGCAAACATGCAAATTTGCCTTTGTTACAGTCGGTGCTGTTAAAAAGCCGTTAAAGCAACCCTACAAAGGATCTTACCGAGTGAATAAATGGACAATTAAACATTTCGTCATTAGCAAAGATGGGGAGAAGGAAACATTCTCTACAGATAGAATTAAACCTGCTTTCAAAGAAGATCATGAAGACAAATGAAATACTGTCATAGATAAACAATCTTTGCCATCAATTACTATGAAATCAAAGAATGATGAAAGACCAAGCAATAACCTTACATGTCTAACACGTTTGTGTAGATTGGCAAGGAAGCCTGAGCGCTACGTTCATTCTGCGCAATAAAACAAATAAACAAACAATCATTGTTATATACTACACTACTAAGTCCAACTGTTATCTTTTATTTATTTGAACATATAAATATTGGTACAAACGGGCAGCGAATAAATGTGCACCACACGAGTCACTTGGTTTTTGTGTGAGCCATGACATTGCTCGGGTGCCCAGACCGACGCGGGGGTTTTCTTAGGGGGCTACACACGGAACCTTCGACCTAAAGGTCTGATCCACAAGGTAGTGGAGCAATGTCAGGAGATGAACTACTCATGGTAGCCGGTGACCAACGATTGGTTCATATGCCATTTGTTCCTTCAGGATTCTGGAGCTCATGTATACCACTGGTCTGGAACCAGGGTTTTCCAACTCCCATATGTGGATCCTTCATAGACACCAACCCGGTTGAGGCGCCGGGCATTCGCTTTTCGTCCTCTCAAGTTCATAAACAAGACCCTTGTCGCGAGAAGGCAGTGAGTAGGACGTCCCTGATAGTGGCTGTATACGCGTGGCCATATGAGAGTATTTCGAGATGGAGAGCTGGCGCTGACCACCCTCGGTCGTATAATGGCATTTGGGGGCAGGTAACTGAGAGCAAGAAACGTATATGAGTAGTAGTGTATTCATGAGAGGTAATCAGTGTCATGCTATGAGGAATTCAAAGCGAAAACGGAAAATCCTAGGTCATGCGCTTCTAAACAACTATTTTGTAGGCTCATAGTGAATGTGCCAACTATGAGAATTAATGAAAGGAATGCAAATAGTAGCAAAAACTAGCTACAAAATAAGTCTGTCCTAACTATCTTCACAAGATCACTGGTGGTAAATTGATAGTTCATTTCCAGAAGCTCCATATTGCAGGAGACACCTTCCTTCATTACCTCGTTGTTTTTATCGTGAAAATTTTTTAGTTAGTGTAACAGGTTTCTTTGGCTCCCTTCAAAACCAAACGATTAACGACATTAACATGTTCTCAAAATTTTGGATAACTCTAAGAATGAATGTTTTCAGCTAAACGGCTTTGTTGCTGAGACCACTGGTGTGTCCGTGTCTATTTTTATTGCTATTACTGTGATATGCCACAGATTGAATTTATGACAGATCAAGATTTAATGAATACCAAAGTGGTGAAAAATTTACTGGACGAAGTGTAAAGTCAATTGATAATATGTAGATGTACATGTATGTGTGAAAAACTTGGACACTGTTTTTATTGCTAGTTGTAGCGAATCCTATTTGCATGCCTGATCCATAATTATTATGAGCGACAAATAGCCCCACATTTGACATATAATCCTAACGAATATATCAGATAAAATCTAGCAATTAGGGATCAAGTGATCTGTAAATGTATATAGTAGTTATGTTGATAGTCTGTCAATGTGACAGCTGATTCCATGAGAACAAGGTGTGCATAAGCAGCATCTTATTTGTGAATAACAATCATTGTCTTGCAAGCGGAACTGGAAGGATAACGGAAAAGTCAAAGTTTAATTTAAACAACAATCGAGACCACCTGAAGTGGTAAGGTCTAGAGGATGGTGCAATGTTATAATGTCTTATTCAACAACTTTTGGAATTGCCTAGGTGAGACTTATAATATGTAGGCGTGTGAAAAGTTCAGATATTTTTTGCCCTTTTAGTTTCAACGTGGCGCGTAACATTTTGTGTAGATTATTCTTGCCCATACGTCGACTGTAAAGGACTAGAAAACAAGTTTACCAAGTCAATGTTCGTTTCTGTACCAATCTGCTGTGTAGGTCATAAATTCATAAGTGGTACATCGGATATTGTTCCACTGATAGTCACATTATGGCAAATGTATATCAGTATGTGGTTCTACATATCAGACAGTTATTTGTGAAATCGTAAGAAATTGTTATTACCAAGACGTCGGTCACGATAAAGCTCTAGAAAAATATACCATTGTGTCCCAGGTTTAGAGTTTGTTGTCCCTTGAAATAGGTGGTTATATGTGACTAATTGGTAGCTAATGTCGTTATTTACGAGTCCAGGTTCTTTTATATCACCATTTCCCCAGTAACAACTAAGAACCATATTTCAGTCTTCTTTTCTGTAGAGTAAAATAACGACTTCCTTGATTGTTTATATAGACGATACCATCCGCCAGTGATCGTCGACCGTTTCGTTTCTCTGTTGTAGATTCCCGAATCTACACAGTGAAAATAGCATTTAGTTGGTTTGTCAAATTTTCTATGATTTTGAGAAATGTTTGAATGACTGGTATCAGAGGGACATCAGGATTCGCTTCCGGACCTACTTCTAGACACTCGATGAGCGAATATTTCGTACACAGACGATTAATTTGACTGACAAGCATATTTAAAGTTTATTAAAGGTCATGAAGCTACCCTGCTGAAGTTATCTAGAATTGAATACACATTGGTATTTGGTTAGCGATATCCACAAGCTCATCTATGTCGACATCTTCATCACTGCAGCCTATTATTTTGTGGCAGACTTCTAAGTTATAACTGATAAATTCAACATCTATTAGCTTAGTGATTGCTAATATACAAGTCGCGTTTCACTTAAGCTGATATAGCTTGTTGCTACTTAATTGCACGTTGGCTATTGGTCATTCCGTTCACCATTGATCCCATAAAAGATTATTTGGATGACTTATTGTTGCAAGAGTTCAAATTATGAATCAGCGTCAGGCGTAAATATTATTTCAGTAGTCTTTGCGGCGAGACCATAATTTATGGACGAACCGATCAGATATAAGATAATGAGTCACAAATTTTGGTGCGAAATTCATCCATACATTTGGCTAAATAGTGTTTTGGCATTATAGCTGATGTCAGTTCGTGATGAAAACCCTAAATCTAGTTTTTAACCCTAACCATCAACTGTAAATGAGGATTTCAACTGCTTCATAACCTTCATTTAGTCCTTACCAGTAGGTGTCCGCTCTCAAGGCCACTTCAGCGTCGCTCTAAGGTCGTCCATAAATTATAGTCTCACCGTTTTTACCGCTTTTCCGTCCGATAACACTGAGTTCTCATAGATGGATTCGGCCATCTGGTTTGCGGTCTTACATAACGAAAAATCTCTCTAAGAGTTAGAACTATGACCTGAAATCACAAGCTTCGGTAGGAGGTACAGGAAAATAAATAGCACATCAATAATAGAGAAGGACTTCTTGCTGGCATGAATCTGCAAGCTAAGAAATGTAACCCTAGAAGAATTATTACTGCGAACCTCTTATAGTTTCATAAATTTTTTCCTTGGTATTTACCTGAGTTTCATTGATACTTTGACCAACTATTTTTACGTGTTCAAAGACCACACTTACTTGTCCATCCTTTCATTTCACCTATGGATCTCATTTGAAAACCATCTTTCATTCAAACAGAGACACCAAAATACTAAAAATTATCAATAACTACTCATGTGAGTTTCAAGATTGACTCCAAGAGGTGGATCTTCAAAATGTTGCGCTACTCATATGTTTGGTCTAATGATGGCCAAACCTTGAAGTTTGGCCATGGTAAGACGTATCTTTCCTCAGTATTTGCGAATTCAGTTTCCATCCGTTCTTCACAATATTGGTTGTTTCGCGCACATAAAGTTTAGTAATATTGGGTATGTATAGCTTTCTGTTCCTTTATTCCTGACCTTTCGTTACCGGGTAAGGCGATTCGCATGACTTATCATTATGATTTTGGCGGAAGGTTAATTTTCACATCTTATGAGGTTATAATTGGCCTTGATAGATAACCTGAGAGTTTGTAGAAGGACAGAACTTTGTGTGCACCCTAGCTGCCAACTTTGGGGAAATTTGGGGGTTTGGGTCTCATTTCCCCAAAATTGGTAGCTTGGGCAGGACTTGCTTTAATGCACATTTCCTTCCAAAGAACTCCATTTCTCTTCAAAATGCTTCTGAAGTTCTCACTACTAAAGAGACGTGAGAAATTTCAACAACCAGAAAAATTGTGGCGACACAAGTTAGAATTACGGTGAGCATGACATCCCGTCGGCTTTGTGTCGTTCGACTCTTAAATCCCATATGTTCTGGGCAGGAAAACAGACGATTTTCAAGTCTTCATTCATACCTTTCGAATGTAACCTCATTGACTTCTCAAACCCAACTGCCTGAACTCTATCATCTCCATGTCTTCTCTCTTCACCTTTTAAGGTAATATGGTGTTCCATTTGTCTTGTGTGAAACAATCAGCTTTTACATATCCCACCCTTCTCATCCGTACTTCAGTTGCTTTGTTCATTGGATATTCTTTTGAGAGTTGCATTCCCTTTTTCGCAGCTACCCTTAACCATTGTTTGTATGTTCGACAGGAGTAATCTCAACCTACATAGCATTAGTACCGTACATGATAACTTGGGACAGACTCGCGGTGTACCGATTCATGTTTTGACATGACTTACCTTGTCACACCTCAATGTTTAAATCTTCCGAGTATTTTCGAAATTAACGTTTTAGCAATATTTGGGAGCAAAGCGGAGTCCGGTGTAAGACAATATGCGTCTAATTCACACTAGACAAAGCCATACATGCTCAGTTTTACTTCTCCTTCTACGTCCAACTTATGCGAAATTTGTTCACACTTCGTAATACTAGTCTTTATATTCACACTGCATACCATTCTCAAGTGTGCAACGATAACCTGAACTTTGACGGATACCTTTTTTCAGTATGAATCATCCTCAAAAATGATTTTACTCACAGCAGAAGTATTCATAAAAGCAATGAGAAAACTGTTGTCACTCTCTATGGTACCTTGACTAAGTGAGATTCAACTAAAGCAAGAACGGTTGTGTTTGATGTGTTAGAACGACCAGGATCAACAGGTTTACTTAGTTTGCTGTCACTCTTTTGAAATAGCCCAAGTTTCAGTATTTTGTCTTTCCCCTAAAAATTTTTTACGTATTTCGAGTAATTCAGTGTGATATTGTTTGCATAACTAAGTGTAAAGTTCACTTAGAAAGTCACAATACATGAAATAAAGAAGTCAAGATTTGTGCATCAAAGACAAAAGATTGTGTACTTGTATTAAGCCTATGTTTTACATGTCTTAAATGAGTCAATTCAATCCCAGTCACACACTTGATAAAAATTAATAGGTTTTCAATGAGTCTATTTATTTAAGTGATTTAATTAGCTGCTGGATAAGTCCATTTCATGTATTATATACACTCAGCCGCTGTCTATCTTATCATCCAAATGCTTGCTGGCGTAGAAGTGGGTTTGAAGGAAGCTAGTGGTGGACAAAACTAGGTGCTGCATTAGTCACTTACTGTCTGGTTGTGCTAACAGATGGACACTCTAATCTGAGTCCGTGCGATAATCGTTGTCAACCATTGGGAACGAATCACAGCACAGAATTAGTTGTAGAGGAGCAGATACGTCTGTTCTTTAGTTACCCTTGGCTTCTGAGCGTCGATATTATTTCATACTTTTCGTCCTGAAAATATATTTCTTCTGAAACTATATTCTCTATCTCGAGTGATCTTTTTATTTATTTCCCCACTATTACTGATTGTACTACTTTAGTATCCATCCCCCTAATTTCACTCCTCATTATTGAGGGGATGTGGAAATTTGGTTCGCTGTATATTTGTACTAGATCCTACGTTGTATATGACTGACTAGTTGTATGTAAAATATTCCATGTGTTGTAATGAATTATACACTCTTGCAAGATCTTAAGGTTCACATCTCAAAAACTGAAAATATTATTACTGAAGTCAAAAGTTCTGGAGATACTTTCTAGATTTTCATTTTGGTGGTTGATGACGAATCAAACCAGTTCTTTGGTTATAGCTTTGACGTTTTATCCCATTATTCCTAATTGAAGAAACTAGGTTTTCAAATGTTTGCTGTATTTTTTAAAATTAAGTTATCCTTTCAAGAAAATCTTAACAAAGTTGGTTAACTCAAAAGATGAGCTAGTACAGTGTTTTTAAGTAGAAATTGTACTATCAGATATTATTATCGCACTGATGTCAAACGAGTCAGAATATACTACAATTTATGTTCCATAATGTCTGTGTATATTTGTAAAAATTATTATGTAACTGTTTCGCTAGTCTTCCGAAATTCTATCAAATGAACTCCTTGCTATTAAATACCTTTGTAGCATTTTGAAAGAACCGCCTGTTTGTTTATCAAATACATCTATGGTGTTTGGTGATGTTCCTCCTCTACCTACATGTACGGAATCATATGCCTTCCAGGTGGCTGGTCATTCTCGAGAAAATGCAAGTAGTTTCGAAAGTAAGTTGTTTAGTATAAGTAATTGACTGTTACAACACTATTTATAAACTGGTAATCTCTATTGCTAGGTAATGATACCCATTATATTTCACATAATTCCACAAGATGAATTTTGTGATTTTCGAAGTAACTAGTTGGATGTAAGGGTCGTATGATGTTTTGTTGGTAACGGCCCCCTGAATGCCCTGGTACGGCCGAGAGTGGGGAGAGTCCGCTCTCCCTCTCGAAATACTCTCAAACGGCCACGCGTATACATCCTCTGCCAGGGAAGTCCTACTCATTGCCTTCTCGTGGCGGGGGTGTTGTTTACGAAAATGAGAGGACGAAAAGCGAATGTCCGGCGCTTTAACCGGATTCCAAATCAATGGTGCACATGGGCTCCAGTATCCTGCGGGAACAAATGGCGTATGAACCAATCGTTGGTCACCGGCTACCATGGGACTGCATCTCCTTACGATGCTCCACTGCCTTGTGGGTTAGACCTTTAGGTCAAAGGCTCGGGGAGTGGCCCCCTAAGAAAACCACCTGCTTCGGTTTGGGCACCCGGGCAGTATCACAGCCCACACACAAATTGATGAACTCTTTATGCCTATGGAAATTACCTTTCTCGCTTTGAAAAACAAACAATTGATTCAGATTATTATCATTACAATTATTGTCATTATTAATACTATTATTATTATTACTACTATTATTGTCATTATTGTTATTATTATTATTATTTTCCACTAACTTCTAGTCTGAGCCATGTTGGTAGATGCAGACTACTTGGTTGGGGTCCGCGTGACTATCGTAACCAATGGTTGGAGACTCTTGGTGACATGGCTCAGAATCGATCACAATGGCGTCGGTGTATACACACCCTGTCTTCCCTTAAACTAAGAGATTAAAATCGCTTCATATCTTTCTACGAACCAATTCTTTCTTCTTGTACTATATCTCTATATGCAATCTTTCTCTTACATATTACTACCTTTGACCTATCCACTGCTATGAATCCGGTGTTCATCTTGTTGTGCTGATGCGGTATGGCAACCTGGACCGATGCACATATGTGCCTGGTCCTACGTTGTAGCAGACTGTCTGATTTTCCACATTATTCACCCTCTTTTATACTTATACAGCGGCTCGTCTTTGGTGGAAATTCGACTGTATCTAAACGTTCTCGAGTCACTGTCCGGTTGAAAATTGTATGTTACCACCGAATACGAGAACTAAAGCAGTTTTTCTGAAACCACGTGCACCATTCAAACTGGCTGCCTTCAACGTTCGCACATTTATGCAGGTCGGACAACAGATAGGGCTGGCTATGTCTTTGGAAAGTCTTAATATTGATGTTTGTTGTCTATCCGAGACCCGTATTCAAGACTCTGGCGAAGTACTACAAATTCGATCTCCATCTGTCGCTTCGAAAAGCTTGTTTTACGTGCGCTTATCCGGGGACCCTGTGGCATCTTCGTCTAGTCTTGTTGGCGTTGGTGTCGCACTAAGCGCTACAGCTGAGGCAGCACTAGTCGATTGGATCCCCATTAACAGTCGGTTATGTGCTGTTAGATTAGAAAGTTCCATCAAAGTGAGAAGAAATCGGCGTGAGAAACGATGTCTTTTCGTCATCTCCGCCTATGCTTCGACAGATTGCAGCCCGGATGCAATCAAGGATGAGTTTTACCACCAGTTATCAGTCCTCCAGAAAATGCGTTCGACAGATATTGTAGTACTAGCCGGAGACTTGAATGCCCAGGTCGGGCGTCTAGGCACAGAAGAGAGTCGTTTAGGTGGCCGATGGGGACTCGTTGGTCGCAGGTCAGATAACGGGGACCGTCTACTGCATCTTTGCACAGACCACAACCTGTTTCTGGCTAGCACTAACTTTCGGCACAGTCATCGCCGATGTGCCACCTGGCGTCCTCCCTCTGCATCTCAAGCCTGGACTCAGATTGATCACATCGCGATCAGCTACCGCTGGCGTGGTTGTGTAAAAGACTGCCGCTCCTTTTGAAGTACCTATCTGAACTCTGACCATGCCTTGGTCTGCGCCAATCTTGCCTTACTTTTCAGTGGCCAACGAAGTGACCACCACCAAAAGATTGATGTTAGCAAGCTGGTTGCAACTTCTGTTGCAAGTAAGTATCGAACCGAGCTAGCCTCTAGGCTAGCTACCACTCCACCGAAAAGTATAAATGAGCATTGGTCGCAATTGCATGACGTCATGAAAATGGCGGGTACAGTCAGTTGTGGGTTTGCGAAACGTCCCGCTTTTAAGCACTGGGTTTCTCCAGGTTCCTTACAACTCATTGAAGCCCGTCGGTCTACTCCGGGTGACCGTGAGTTACTACCACACTACCTCACTCCAATCTCTTCGTCACTGTTCTCTTTTTCTTTTGCGCTCCTTAGTTTTTTTTTATTTCTCTTCGAATTCTCATTGTTTTGTGTGGCGCATATATATTGGCGCTTTCTTGTACCAATATTCATGTGTGTAGTGTTTCTTGACATCAGGGCTGCCTTCGATTCGTTGGACAGGACTGTTCTCTGGGATTGTCTATTGAAGAAGGGTGTGCCTGAGAAGTTTATTAACATCCTAAAAGCCCTATATACAAACACCTCAGGCAGAATGAGGGCATACAACCACCTCTCTCCATTGTTCCATTCGAGCAGTGGGGTTAGGCAGGGTTGCCCAATCTCGCCATTCCTCTTCAACTTTGCCATCGATGACATTCTGGAAACAGCTATGATGGATGTAAGTAATGGCGGTGTGGATCTGTTGCCCGGAGAAAGACTTCTTGATCTTGAGTATGCGGACGATATTGTCTTACTGTGCGATAATGCCCAAGACATGCAATCTGCACATAATCAGTTGGCAATCAGTGTCCGTAGGTATGGTACGTGCTTTGCACCTTCGAAGTGCAAAGTACTTCTGCAAGACTGGCAGGATTCTAGTCCTGTACTCACCCTGGATGGTGAGCAGATAGAAATGGTCGAGAAGCTCGTGTATCTGGGTAGCTGCATAAGTGCTGGTGGGGTGTGAGTGATGAGATCAATGCACGAATAGTGAAAGCCATAGCGGCTTATGCCAATCTGGGCCACCTTTGGCGCCTTCGTGATGTTAGTCTGGCTGTAAAAGGCCGGATCTACAACGCGTCGGTGAGAGCAGTTTTGCTCTATGCTTGTGAAACCTGGTCTCTCCGAGTTGAGGACGTTAGACGACTCTGTGTTCGATCATCGCTGTCTCCGAAGGATTGCTGACATTCAGTGGCAACACCATGTTAGTAATGCAGAGGTTCGGCATCGTGTGTTCGGTCACAGAGATGATAATTCAATTGGTGTCACCATCTTGAAACACCGACTTCGGTGGCTTGGACATGTTCTACGAATGTCGTCCCAGAGAATTCCACGTCGTGCATTATTTGCCGACTTTGGGACTGGTTGGAAGAAGCGGAGAGGTGGTCAGTGCATGACATGGTGTCGTGGCATGAAAGAAAGCTGCAAAGGACTGGTTTCTGTTGGTCCTTCACGACTCCCTGGTTGGGGTCTGAGAGATGGTGCAACACCTTATCAGATATGGCTCAGAATAGAAGCCAGTGGCGATCCTGCTGTAACCTTCTTTTACTTTCTTCATAAAAAGTGGTTGTGTCTCCCTTACCTGAAAGATTTCTTCTGATTGTACCTTTTCGTTCCCTCGTTACTACCACACTACCTTACTCCAATCTCTTCGTCACTGTTCTCTTTTTATTTTGCGCTCCTTAGTTTTTTTTTCTACTTCTCTTCGAATTCTCATTGTTTTGTGTAGCGCATATATATTGGCGCTCTCTTGTACCAATATTCATGTGTGTGTTGGTAACTGGTTATTTCCTATTTATCCGGTCACATAATTATTTCGCTATACTTTAATTTGTGTAGGGAGGTGACAATTTTCGTTTCATTCTACATTGAGCATGCTTACGTAGTTTACAAAAATTGCAGAGTAATTGTGTGTCATAGGAATGAGAATGAAAGAATCGATTGCATGGAGTTTCTGAAACTTACTGATTGCATACAGGTTTCCTCACTGTATGAATCACACCGACAAACGTGGTGACTGCTTAGCCGTTTTAATGAAGTTGACTGTCATGTGATGGATTGCAATTTTGAGTCATACTTTATCTTGTTCGTTTAATTCGTGTGGTAGTATGACTATCGTTCACACAAAGTGTGTTAGAGTGGTGAGTATAAGTACTTGTATTCGCTAAATGATTTGCACCAAGTGAGCGCTAACTCTAATAATCGGTTACACTCGTAATCCTTTAAATGTATTAACAAGTGATTTTGTATTATAAGAGTCCAAGAGTTTATTCATATTAAAGGCAAATAATGTTGCAACATATCCATTATAACGCCCACGTGATTTACTCGAGCTTCTGGACAAAATCATCAATTTACTTCTCCCATCAGTTCTGTACACATGTTTGTCCTCGTCAAGTACTCATTTGTTAACCTTGAACATCTCTTTTATATGCTTGCATATGTACATCTGCTCATATTTATTTGTGATTTAATTAGTTGTTTATCTACTCGCACCGTCTGTCTTTAAATTAACGAGGAGTCACCTTGATTAGGACTAGCGTTGTTTACCGACTTCATACTTCATTTTCTGGTGCTTTTTTTACATGATTGTCTACTTATAATTGAATGTATGAAATAAACATATCCTCATTAAATTTCGTAGTTCGGTTTTTCGATTCAACGTTGAATTAACGCGATACACTAAAATTTAATTACGAAACCAAATGTTAAATACATAAATGTTTCATCATTCCTCGTCAATCTCATATGTGGTTGACGATGGTCGGTGAAATAACTGCGTTATCTGCTCATTGCTCTTACACAGATACGCTAAGTAATCGTACATATACATTTTTAGTCTGATTAAAGATTTTATAAGCACCGATTTTGACACTAAGTAGTCTCAACCACTCATAACACAAGTGTTCTAATAATAAAACACATCTTCACAGAAATGTAGAAATATTATCTACACTTTTATACTATCAAATTTTAAATTAATGTATCTGATCATGATATTTCAAATGTTTTATATTTGTCTAGTACTTCGAGATAAATCTAAACCAATCATTTACAAGTCATTACAAGATCGTGAAAGAGGTATGCGTGAAGTGATGTTTTACCAAAGTGTGTTTTCTGCGGATGCTTCGGAAGCACTCAAACGTCTTCGTCAATTTATTCCAACTTATTACGGAGTTTTTCAATGCCCAGGAACTAAAGGTAATGATATATTTTTAATGTTAATGTTTGTTTCATGTTCGTACCTCGTAACACCTTATTCAAGTCTTGGCATTTGGACTGGCCACGATAATCTCTTTTGATTTTTTAAAACTCCCAGTTACTACCTGACTAGGGTACTTCAGTCGAATCTTCCTTATTAAGAATATGATCAATATGGATCAGTAGATATTTCAATATACCCAAAATAACAATCTCCACAACCCTATACTACTAAAAATAGCGTAGTTAAACTATTAGGAGTTATGTAGAATTTCCATCTCTTTGATTTAGCGATTGGCTCTACTTGGCTAAAATTTGACTAATCAGTGGATCGTTTTGCAGATTATTTTAAAAAGTTTATTATTGACAATGACCACGTTCCGTAATCAAGACACTAAGTGTTATTTTATATATCCATAAAATTTTTATTCTTGAAATGTGAAATATTAAATTTATTTCCGTCTATTCACTACTCAGATACTGTTCATGCATGGTATTTCATAAGAATATATATATTATGGTAAAAATGAATAACAAGATACGACAAACTGTTAGCTATTTGTTGAAATATCAACATGCTAAATTTCTAGTGTGTAATCAAATAACATTTAGCCTATGTGAATTTTTACATTAAAGATATAGAGTTTAATACGACTGTCTTCTTCTCACTTTCATATTAAGTTCTTGAAAAAACAGGTTCTATGTAGCTAACCAAAGGTGAATCAATCATAGTCGACCTCACGCACAGCACAGTTCACAAGGTTATATCACTTAACATACTGTACCAAAGATATTACAAGTGGCGATGTTATGACCTTGGATGTCTGACTTTTCTATCACACGATTTATCTACCAATCCGAATACGACTTATACGAATCTTCACACTAGGCCAACCAATGACGTTCAACCGGTGTGGGCAGTTTAGCATCCTTATTAGTCCTATGTCTTACGAGCCCTTCCACTTGAGTACAGAACACAATACCAGCTTCCGAATATGAATCGAATCAGAGCAGATCGTTTATTTCAGACATACCCGGTTTATATATCAATCACACAGACCGCAACGTACCATAAAATAGGAAATAATATTTGTACACAAATAAGCCCAAAAAGTGGCTGTGAATGTGGGAGGCAGTAGTTAATAAACTGAACATAACTTAAGAACCGTAAATCGTATAATAATAAATTATAGGTCAAAATAAAGCTTATCATAAAAGGAATATAAATATACATAGTGTAATTGTTGAGTAGTTATACAATAAGAATATTTATAGAATATTAGTCCATGAATAGTCCTTGGAAGTTACCTGTAATTTAATCTTCACCGGATATAACAGGCGAGTCAAGTCCATAGCATATCTTAAGTTGTTACCAGTGAACAGAGAATTTTATTACAATGATTTAATTTATTGATTGGTTCTCTTTTTCCTATAATTATTTGCCACAGCTTACTATATGGCTTTAACTGATCTGGTGGCCGATTTCAAACAACCAAATATATGTGATTTCAAAATGGGTACGGTCACTTATTTGCCAGGTTCTTCACCAGATAAAATCTCCCGTGAACAGGTTAAATATATGTGGCGTCGTAAACTAGGGTTTGTTTTATCTGGTATGCAGGTAAGTTGTGTGTCGTTTTAATGAATTTTCAAGTATAATTTACACTTGGAGACTATGTCTGTTTGATAGGTTATGAGACCAAACATTTCGTTAGTTTGATGTGTGTTAGTGAGGTGGATAAAGAAGTGATTCTTATTTTTACATCGTAAGTAAGCTTCACCGATACTCATTAAACATTAAAATTCGATTTATTTGGAAGTACTCGGGATGTCACAGATTAAATTATATATTACTCAGCTAGGTCTCTGTTTAATCTGTTCACTGGGTTCTACTTCATGACTGGTTTTTAGAACTAGGAGATATTAATAGGTTACTGGTAGATCCCTTTAAAGAGTCGCTCATATATGTTGGACAGTTGAGTGAACAGTATTGGAATTGGGCCTTAGATACTTGACAATAATAACAAATCAGTTGTGGATCTTCGTCGACCAAGTTTTTTGTGGTATATCCAAGCATCATGAGCTATCTGGACTTGCATGGGTAGGTAAAGTAAGAATAGATTAGAGGAAAACTGTGAGGGACTAAACCAAAACATGACATCAGTCGATGACGTTATCGACAGTTGAAGTGAGCCATGTTCATATGCTCAGACTACTAGGTTGAGTTCTCTATGCTATTATCATAACCAGTGGTTGGAGACGTTAAGTGACATGACACATACATTCACCTTTTGTCTACCCTTAAATCTTGAGTTTTAGAATTATTTTATTTCGAAAATTTATCCCTCTCTAATTATATCTACTACATCTAGTATTCTGTCTTAGTTTATACTGATATTTTCATTTTGTTATCCTCATATTTTGTAACAACCTGAATCAGTATATGCGTTTGCAAGATTCTATGTTGCTTATGATTGCCTGACATGTGACATTTTTATAAACCTTTATCATAGACTAAGTTTACTAAACAATAGCATGCTCTCTTTCACTGTGTACATTCTGTATATATGATTCTTATAATTAAACTGACAATTACTTTGTTTTATAGTGTAGTTCCTCAGTTTATTGTAGCTTATAGTGTCTGACAAGATCTCTGCACGGATTCTAGAAGTTCGTTTGGCTTTCGCCAACTTACGTCACCTATGGCGAAGCCAATATACTCGTCTATCAATTAAGAGACGAGTATACTGCGTATCATTTCGTTCTGTTCTACTTTACGGCGGTGAAACATGGTCATTAAGAGTAGAAGACACTCGTAAGCTAATAGTATTCGACCACAGATGCCTTAGAAATATTGCTCGCATCTGCTGGGATCACCTGGTAAGTAATAGTGAGGTTAGACGTATGGTATTAGGGAATGATGGTAAATCAGTTGATGAGGTTATGAATCTTCATCGACTGAGATGGTTGGGCCGTGTGTTACATATACCTGAACTCAGATTGCCACGACGCACAATGCTAACCGGGTATGGTTGGGAGAAAGTTAGGGTCGGCCAAACCAAAGCGTGGTATCAGTGCTTGAAGACACTAACTTCCAGTCTAAGCCATGTTGGTAGATGCAGACTACTTGGTTGGGGTCCGTGTGACTATCGTAACCAATGGTTGGAGACTCTTTGTGACATGGCTCAGAATCGATCACAATGGCGTCGGTGTATACACCCTCTATCTTCCCTTAAACTAAGAGATTAAAATCGCTTCATATCTTTCTACGAACTAATTCTTTCTTTCTGCACTATATCCTTACATAAAATCTTCCTTTATATATATTACACCATTGAGTTAACTGCTTCTATGAATCCGGTGTTCGTCTTGTTGTGCTAATGAAGTATGGCAAGTTCGATGCGCCGTGTCCTACGTTGTAACTGATTGACTATTGTAGCTTATTGATAGTATCCAGAAGAAATAATTACCAGCTAGAACTTGAAGGCTTGACAGTTGAATCTCAGTTACTATACAGTAAATTGATTAATGTAATCTATATTATTATTCTTTTCTAAAAAAATACATTCTATTTTACAGATATCTGATACAAAAAATCATTGTTTAATTAAGTTTCCTAAAGCATTTGGACGTACTTTATCTCCAGAACAAGTTTATTCAATTGGTTAGTCGTTATTATTCGTGCTTATCTTGTCATAATACTGACTGTTAAATACTTGGTATCTATCATTCTCTCTATTCATTTAAAATAGTCAGTAAAGATGTAATTATACATGACATAATTTCATTATATGAACAAAATGAGTCACACTGCAAATTATGAAGATACAAAAGAAGAAAGATAGAAAAGTAGTTAAGAGTAATAACAATGAAGAAAACCGCTCTTACAAAAAGTTTCTTCTTATCTTCAAGGAACATGCGGATGCCAACGGTACTTAGAGAAGTCTTCTTAAAAGGCTATTTAATAGGTTGAAGAATATGAATAGAATCTGATACACTACTCCTACAAAGACAATAACTTTTATCCGTTTCGATTATCAGGTTCCCCTTCTGTCGTTGTTTTCTCGTAATCAAGATATTTGCAACAAACAATCGTCCATAACACTTTGTTCGGCACCCGCGATAATTATTGAAAAGGCAGAGTTTGTTCCAAGGGGAAATTAAATAATTCTATTAGTAACCATATCACTTGAAACCAGAATAAAGCTTTTGGTTTCTTTTGTCTGCTCAGTACCTTGGGACTGGATTGAGAGTCATTTTGGCATATGTCAGAAGTTTATTTGTGATTTGCTAAAAGTGATCTAAACGATTGAGATAGTTTATATTTCAAATAAATATTTTTAATGGTTTTGCATTCTCTGAGCAATATCGTTGGGATGATTTTGTCCCGTACGGCATTATGGAATATTCACGATTTAATTATTATTGAGTATAGAGAACATAAAACCTCGTAAAAATAAATCTATGGTTCTTGGTCTCATGTAGGTGATAAATATCTGCTCAAACAGTAAAATCAACATTGAAATAGAAAATCAGTCTGCCATTTGATTGGCCAAGCTATTCACATGTTGGACCGATCTTATTAAACTTTTGTACTCTAACGAGGATGTTTGGGTGATCCAGGAAACTTCTCTCAAAAGACAAGAAAGGTTCAGGAAACAATAAGAAGCATTTCATCCAATCAGCGTTCACTTGAAGTTTTAGCCAGAAACATCAAGAAAGTGAAAAGTCACATGTAGAGTTTCTGATTGACTGATTACTATACAGCTACTATGTTTAGTAGCATTCCAGAATCTTCGGGGAACCTAAGGACATCTAAAATACTATAAAAACCCTATATTTTCTGTATTAGAACGAACCTTTGGAGTCAAGTGCTTCTCGCATATTCTGCACCTTCTCTCTTGTGTTCAGGTCGCTGTTTAGTTCTAGCTTAGGAACCGAATATAGCGTTCAATTAGCAAGACATATCAGAGGATAACTCGAGATTACTTCCCAACTCAGTCACAGTGTATCAGTCAATTATTAAATTATGCCATGCATCCCAAATGGTATTCTTTATATAGATACTTAAGCAATATCTGGTGTCCATCTATGGAGAGTACTTACCTTCCCTATTATGTTAGCTGTACTCGTCTCAGATGGATCTCGCTTGTGGGTTACAATGAAAACTAGGAATCACTGGACAGCTGTTTCACCCTAATATAAGGATTTCTCAACAGTATGCACCCATGACTTAGGGATCCTGCACAGGTTTCGAATTTATGCCGAGAACACTTAATCGTTTTTATTATGTATTGAGACTTTTTGGTTCTGTAAGACGACTGCTGCAGTAAAAATCAATAAATCTTCGTCGTCTATTTAGATTCGACATTGGGTACTTGCAAGACATTCTAGAATATATGCCTCAATTAAATGAAGGGTTTTTCACTATCAATCTAAACATTAGTGTAATTTTAAGTGAAAATTACAGATGAACCAACCATAGTATTCAACAGGATGAAAGTGTTGACAGCAAAGAGCCTGACAATAATTTTGTTACATAAAAGTTGTTTAAACTCATTTATCCAACATAGATTAATGTACTCAGCTTTAAGGTACAGATTGTGTAAAGATTTTTTATACTACTATTTGAGCATTGAACTAGACGGTACGGTGTTCAAACACTACTACTCAATCTAATGATTTCAAGTTGTTTACGTGTAATTTAGTGTTTTTTTGTGTGTGTATTAATTCACGTCGTTATTTTTCTGCATTTCACAGGTATAAAATCATTTCTAGGTGCAGATCCTACCTATTGTGTTAAACTTGCTCAAAATTATATCATACAACTTGGTCGTATTTTAAATTGGTATATCGAATATGGTGCAAAAGAGCTCACATTCTGTCGTTCTTCAATTTTATTGATTCACGAGTCATTACCAAGTAGTAATAATAATAATGAACATTGTCCTTCCAAATCATGTTTTGCATCATCATCAGCACCCAGCACCACCGTCATTAACAATAACAACAACAACACATATCATACTTCATGTACAACAAGAAATCCAACTGTGAAAACTTCAACAATATTGAATAATCAATTCGTCAATAACTTTAATAATATTCCTTCTATTCATAAAATCAATACTAATAACGGTAATAACAATGATACTCCTAATACTACTACTACTACTACTAGTAGTAGTAGTAGTACTTCGACCGTACATGCTCAAGTTTATTTAATTGATTTTGCACATTGGTCTAAGAAAAATTACTCTACTCAATGTAATAATAATAATAATAATATTGAATATAATAAAAATTATTGGACATGTGAATTAACTAATGGTTTTCGTTATGGATTAGAAAATTTAATTCAATTAATGCATTGTGTTGTCAATAAAGAAAGTGCAATTTGTATAAATTAATAAATAAATAATTATTTATTAACTTTCATTATGTATCAATATATATATACCTACTTACTTACTTACTTACTTACTTACTTACTTACTTACTTAGCATCTCTATGCTAATGTGGTATGGCAACTTGAACTGATGTACGTACGTATGTACGAAGTTCTACGTTGTTACTAACTGACTTAATTACGCCTGTTACTCCCTATGGAGCATAGGATCAATCATATATATATATATATATATATATATACTAATAGTTTATTAATTAGTCTTAGTTGATACTTTTTTTATTGAAATCAATAACATACTACTGATATATTTACACAATAATCTCTCACTAATGAAGAGTTGAACACTGTCGTTCATTAACATATCTACAGCCGCACACACACAACAAACAAACAAACACTTTCCAAAACCTACTATTGTTATATACTTTTTTTTCTGTTACGATTAATCATATTATTATCATTATTATTACTCATATATTACATTGTATGTATATTACAAAGAGAAAATGGTTTCTGCATTTGAAATATTTCGATTTATCCCTCACTTTCTGTATCTTTCCCCTTTCTCTCTAATGTATCCCAAAATGACTTCAATATTGATATCCAGTATGTATTTATTTGTTTACTATCCGTTTCATATTAATCAATGTTGGTCATTTCTTTTTTTTGTCATGTTTGCTTATTCATAATCAATCAACAACAACAACAACAAAAGTTATTTATTTTATTCTGTATGCCGTTTTTCTTGTTGTTGTTGTCGGTGGTAGTGGTGGTAGTCAAAATAGGTCACTTTATACATTATTTGTTGTTGATTAGTTAGACGGGTTGTAGATTTCAATCCCAGTCGAGATAATTGATTAGTATGATTAATTTTAACACAATTTAGATATGGTTCTCAAGTTTACTTTATACTGTTTAAATAGAGCTTAGCACATATGTTCATTAGTTTAAATGATCAAATCAGATTAGCATAATAAGATGAATTTATAAAGAGGACTAGTAAACTAGGTCGAGATGATGATAGTAGTAATGATCATGAGAAAGATGGAATATTAACAACATACTTCAGAAAGACAATGAAATATATTACTTATGCCTGTTAGTCCTCATGGAGGAGCATAGGCTGCCGATCAGCACTCTCCATCTAACCCTATCCTGGACAGTCCTTCCCAGTTGTTATTTATGCATTTGATATTTGCTTTTATTTCCTGACGTACTGCGTTCTTTGACCTTCTTTTCCGCTTCCCTTCAGGATTTCAAGTTAGCGCTTGCCTCATGATGCAGTTTGGTGATTTCCGTGAAATATGTATGTATAGAAATGAGAGGATTCTAGAATTCAAAATCAAGTTGATGATAAAGAATCAATTACTCTGCCCCTCTGTACTTGATTCTTAAATACATCACACGATATCTTCAATTTTAATCAATTAAACTACTTACGTAATCTATTAGTGTGCCTTAGGATTGCCGTTATTAATAAATAAGTCTTAATGAACGTTTCTTACTTTCTACCTCTAATCGATTGACATATTTAATAGTTATGTAAAGTTTTATGACTAGAATTAAGTTACAGAACTCATGACAAATAAATCACTATTGGGAAAGTGAACAGTTTTATCGACACCAACCAATTTTTTGGTTTTCATTGACATGGATTGCTAACATTGCCTGTCTACATAATTGTCGGGGATGTTAGATCCCCAGAAGTTACTTCGTAAATGTCTTATTTTTGGAGATTTGAATTTCTTGTCTTCGTGCCAAAAGCACCCATTTTCACCTTCATGTCGTACTTCCCACTTGGAAGGACTTTAAATACTATTGGTTCGTTGTCTCTTTTAATATGCTATTTTGTAACGTTTCCCAAAGACATTTTTATGCTGTATATATACGCTAGAGTTGTGGTTGTTCCTATTCGTGCTTCTGGCTACTTGTGGAATATATTCCCCTCTTCCAAACTTGAATTTCTCTCTCTCTGGTTAGCGGGGTTGGGATTCATCGGAATAGTTAGTTGATTTGGTCATTGTGTCAGTGAGTCTTCGTTCCGTTCGCAGATTAGGTGAACTCGTAATCTCTTCAAAACAGCAGTAATATTAACGTTTTGAAAGAAATCACTCTCAAAATTTCTACCGGTACCAGCTGGGAAAATGGATATTTTGATAATCGTCATACCGAATTCTTAAATTCTGTTGAATCAGGCGCTATGAAATTATCATCTTCAATTGCCAGTTCTCAAGAACACAATAAAGAATTCTGTCAATATTTATGTTTATTTCTCTAACGTCGTTGTTTGTAGTTCGAATAAACTTTTTGCCTTCTCATTACCTGGGGATTAGGTCAAGAGTCATTGGTGAAACATAGTACAATTTGATTTAAAGAGTATTTTGTCGAAATATTTCGATTTGCATAATTAGATGTGGGTTATAACAAATTGCTAAGCAGTAACTGATTTCCTGTTCTCTAATTCTTGTTAATACAGTAACTAAGCTAAATGACTTCAGGTTGCGATAAACAAATATAATTTACAGGAACCTCTGAAATCTCGAAAGAGACGATAGTCCTCATGAAATCATAAATCTGATCGGATATATGAATTACATAATCGGACTAATATAGAACAGGATTCACACAAAATAACTATACGAATTAATTTAGAATAGAAAAGTATTGAATTAAAATGAATGAAGATTCAATCCAGCAACTAATTGTCATTGAATTGGTTCAGTTGTAGGATAAACTATTCCAAACTCAACGACCAACAGTTTTGCATAGTGATTTTCATTTTAAGCTATTTCTTGTCAGTAATAATGACAGTTAGTGTGTAGAAATTAGAGGACGATAACGTGGGGTAATGACTTTGTGGAATAAAGCGGTGATTACTGGACTTACTTTTCAGGTATAGGGTAAGCATAGTCTAACATTTATATGGCTTATTAAGAGATAATGTACGGGGAGGAAGTATAGTAATACTTTTGTTGTTCAGTCTAGTCTTTTCCTTATTAGTATATCAATTTACTTCATCATACCGGAATTGATATACTTTCAATCTCATTGAAAGGTTTTAGTAATTAAATGATATAACAAACATTAGAGATGAGTTGTCATTTAAATCAATAAAATGAGATGGTTCTTTCACTTTCAAACTATTTTGACTAATAAATGTGCAATGAATAAAGTTAGACATTAACCGAGTTAAATCCCAACTCAATGATCTAAAGATTATGCATTCACTAGCAAGATCGAAAATCCTGCATTCATTTCTTGTAGGTACATTGTCAAGGAGTCTCATAATACGAGGAACGACCCCTCCAATACTCCTAGGTTTCTAATGATAGTCTCAGTCAGTCACACCTGGTTATGGCAATACTTTTAAGTGATGATACTATTGAAATCATCGTATATATATTTAGGTTACCTTCCTGTATATCTAAAACATACCACTGTTTCATAATTTATTAAATTTAAAAGTCAAATATACTTTATCTTTAAAATAAACATCACATTCAAGTTGGTACTGCCATTTATTGTTTTGGATTTTCCCTATAACAATAAAAATATTGTTTAGATAGCCAAGAATAATACAAAAGATTTTGAGATGATAGAGAAGATTTATAGCTCAGATGAATGATTTTGGTGGAATTTTATTCTTTGAGCTGGATGGTTTGGTCGTTAAGCTTTCGTTGTTCTTCTGAACAACATCATCAGCGCAAACTTCAGGTGAAAATAAAGTATTCGAATTTCTCCAAATATGGTTCACAGTTTATCCCGTACACCTCGATGTTGATGTCGTTCAGAAGAACGATGAAAGCTCCACGACCAAATTATCCAGCTCAGAGAACAAAACTCCACCAAAATACAAAAGATGTACTTTATCAATAATTTATTTTAACCTTCAAAGAGATTATAATCATTTTAGTTCAATATAATATTATCAGTGTTTAAACTTGTATAACTCATAGGTACATACATGTTCTCGTCTCTTTTTGGTTAGCGTTTTTTTAGCGGTGCAGTTGGACGATCTGGACAATTGACAAAGTCGTTCGAAGTAAAGACCGGTGTCAGACAAGGTTGCTTACTCTCACCCTTCCTCTTTCTCCTGATGATCGACCGGATCACGAAGACATCAACATCTGTAGGGAAACACGGGATACAATGGACTTCTAGGATTCAGTTAGACGATCTAGACTTCGCAGATGATCTGGCCCTTCTATCCCAAACGCAACAACAAATACAGGAGAAGACGAACAGTGTGGCAGCAGCCTCAGCAGCAGTAGGTCTCAATATACACAAAGGGAAAAGCAGGGTTCTCCGATACAACACAGAATGCACCAACCCAATCACAATTGACGGAGAAGATTTGGAAGATGTAAAAACCTTTACATATTTGGGCAGCATCATTGATGAACAGGGTGGATCTGATGCAGATGTGAAGGCAAGGATCGGCAAAGCAAGAGCAACATATTTACAACTGAGGAACATCTGGAGCTCAAAGCAACTGTCAACCAACACCAAGGTCAGGATTTTCAATACAAATGTCAAGACAGTTCTACTGTATGGGGCAGAAACCTGGAGAACTACGAAGTTTGTGCTGATGATGTCGTTCAGAAGAACGATGAAAGCTCCACGACCAAACCATCCAGCTCAGAGAACAAAACTCCACCAAAATCATCCACCTGAGCTACAAATCTTCTCCACCATCTCAAAACCAATCCTATTCTCCAGAATGACGTCGTCGCTGATTATGTATTTCACATACATCCAATCTTTCATATTGATAATAACTCTATGACTTTGTGTGCCTTGTTAGTAGGCAGATCTTGCATCCCAGTGTTAATAATTCATACTACTACTACTACTACTGCTACTTTTTTTATCCCGTTGCCACTGGTATGTCTCGTCGTTTGAATGCTTACTTGTTATATCTGGTCATCGTTAATTTTTATGTCGGAAACAGTCGTCAGTCAGTCAGTCAGCTACAACGTAGGACCAGGCACATATGT